TCTTTTTTTCTTTACATCTTATACTTCCTGAATTGTTTGTTCTCCCATATATATGTTTTCCCATTTCAATAAAATGGAGTTGAAACCCCTATCGCTCAACCAATTGGAGGATACAAACCCCACCGGAGAAAGGTAAAATCCCATTGAAGGTAAACCTTGGAATGCTTTCGAATTGTTTAGTTCTCAAGCTATTTAAATACGATCCCGATTTGGTTGCCTGTTTCTATCACAAGTATTGTTCTATTTATCATTTTGCATTTATAAGGTATCTGAGTTTGAGAACTTGAGACTGTTAAAAAAGCTTTAATTTGTTTATCTACAAAATCTTCTACATTGAAAGGAATCAAATGTATCCGATCATTATTATTAAAAAATGAAAAACCCTAGTTGTGCACTAATCCGAAACTTTTTTCGGCTCTAAGGCTTTGTTCTCTGTAATTTGGACCGCAGTGTGGAAGTGTGTTCAAATAATGTTCCCTGTCGATGAACAAATAACGTTTGAACATAACTTGAGGAGGCCGTTCACTTCAAAAATTAAGATTTTTGTATGTGTTATATAGAGAATACAATATTGCAACGTGTTTAAACATATTATTTAATATGATTGTGTATTTTCACATTTGTTTGCGTTATCGTTACTGTCCATATTATCATGGAATGTAAATGGACTTAGTAGATCTAAATTAGAGGACAATGATTTTATAAAGAAACTGTGTAATAACGATATTATATTTTTGTTTGAGACTTGGGGTAATAAAAATTCTAATTTTGATATAGATGGGTATACAACTTTTAATTTCTATCGTAAATTTCAGAACCGACGAGCAAAGCGATCTAGTGGTGGGGTATTAGTATACATTAAAAATGAAATAAGTAAAGGGGTTACCGTTGTACAGAATCATTTTGACACTATCATTTGGTTGAAACTTGATAAAATATTTTTTAATCTTACAGATGACATATATTTAGCTGGTGTATATATATGGGTGGAAGGTTCCCCTGCTTATAACTTTATCAATGGTGATTTATTTGATATTGTTCAAAATGATATTTTACTTTATGAAAATCGTGGTATTACATTGTTAACTGGCGATTGGAATGCACGTACAGGTAATGGAGACCGCAAGGATTATATTGTTTGTGATCGTACCGTTAGTTTTACAGACTATGAAGATTATTACCCCGATATGCCTATAGAACGTGTGTCCATGGACTGTCTACATAATAACTCGGGTATTAAATTATTAGATGTATGCAAGGCTAGTTCTTTACGTATTGCAAATGGTAGGCTTGGTCGTGACTATAATAATGGAAACTATACTTATATATGTTCATCGGGATCTAGTGTCATTGACTATCTATTGTTGAAAGAGCAATATTTCAGTTTAGTTAGCGATTTCTCTGTACAGAGTTTTAATGAATGGTCTGATCATGCTCCTATATCATTTTCCATTAAATGCCACGTATTGCACGAGGATAATGATATTTATTATGAAAGCATTAGTTTACGATGGAATGACGAGTTACGGAACGAATTCCGTAGAGGTCTTATATCACAACTACCACGTTTAAATACTATTACCGAAAATGTTGATTTTAACGATAGATTACAGTTAAATTCATGTATAGAATCCTTTGTAAATGTTGTGAGAAGCGTGGCAGATCCATTATTTTGTAAACGTAGAATAACATATATTACGCCACGTGCCGATGGTAAACTATGTAAAAAGGCAGAATGGTTTGATGAAGATTGCAAACGTTCAAAAGAGGTATATTTAAATTCTGTATATAAATATAATATGTGTAAAAATGATGTAAATAGAATAGAATTTTGTAATAATAAACTAATTTATAAAAATGTTGTTAAAAAAAAGAAACGTAGTTATGAGTTAAAAAAATTAAGAGAAATTGAACGCCTTCGTCACTGTAAACCTAAGGATTTTTGGAAATTGTTTACTAAAAAGGCGATACATAAGAATAGTGTTTCCATAGAAGATTTTTATGAGCATTTTTCTACCCTAAGTAATGATTTGCCAAATGTTTTGCATGCCGAAAGTGAATTATTTTGTGAAAATTTAGATTTTTTTAGTAATGATGTACTGTACGAGGAGCTAGATGAACCTATAACAGTTGATGAGATAAATTGTGTTATTCGTCATTTAAAGAAAAATAAGGCTTTTGCAGGTGACCAGTTATTGAATGAGTATTTTATAAATTCGTCCGATATTTTATCATCGCATTTAGTTGATATTTTTAATGGTATTCTGAACTCTGGCTTTTTTCCAGATTCATGGATGGAAAGTATTATTGTACCTCTGTTTAAGAAAAATGACCCTGCACTTGCTAGTAATTATAGAGGAATCAGTCTCGTTAGTTGTTTTTCAAAGATATTTACAGGTGTTCTGAATAACAGATTGACAAAATGGTCTGAAGAAAACGATAAAATTAGTGATGCACAATTTGGTTTCAGGAAGGGTCGCTCCACAGTTGATGCTATTTTTGTTTTAAATGCTGTTGTTAATAAAATTTTAAATGAAAATGGACGTTTAGCATGCGCCTTTATAGATTTTCAAAAGGCTTTTGATAGTGTTTATCGTAATGGTTTATGGTTTAAACTATATAATATTGGTGTACGTGGAAAAACTTTAAGAATCATCCATGATATGTACTCTAAAGTAAAAGCACGAATAAGGGGCTGTAAATCATATTCAGATTTCCTGGAATGTTCAATTGGTCTTAAACAAGGGAGGTAATGTCCCCGATATTGTTTTCTATGTTTTTAGAAGATTTGGAAATGTATTTATTAAATGATATTAATTCTGGTTTAACATTAGATGATATTACATTTATTCTCATGTTATTTGCTGATGATATTGTTATTTTAAGTAAATCCCCTGAAGACTTACAAAATAGTTTAAATACATTACATAATTACTGTACTTTATGGGGCCTTAAAGTAAATGAAGGTAAAAGTAAGATTATGGTTTTTAGGAAGAGGGGTCCGATTAGAAATAATGAGTATTGGACATATAATAATATTCCCTTAGAAATAGTCGACACTTTTAATTATTTAGGTACTGTTTTCAACTATACAGGTAGTTTTACTTTAAATCAAGAGTATTTAGTAGGGAAAGCCCTAAAGGCGTTAAATGTTTTATTGTTCAATTTAAACCTGACACCAGTTAAATTTAGTACTTCTTTGCAATTATTTGATGCCTTTGTTGTATCTATTTTAAATTATGCCTGTGAAATATGGGGATTTAGTAAAAGTAAGGACATCGAACGAGTACATCTAAAATTTTGTAAGTCCATGTTGTGTGTTAAGCAGTCAACTAGCAGCATGGCTATTTATGGTGAGCTGAAAAGGTACCCTTTATATGTAAACAAATATGTACGTATTATCAAATTTTGGTCAAATATTGTTAACAGTAATAATGTTATAGTTAGATACTTATATACATCAATGTTAAATGATATTAATAGAGGAAAAAATAACTGGTTGTCTAATGTGAAATCATTGTTAGATAATGCAGGATTGTCATATATATGGTATAATCCAAGTATTTATAACCTTAAAAATGTACATTTATTATTTAAGCAAACTCTTATTGATCAATTCATCCAGTCATGGTATCATAATGTAACAACTAGCCCGAGCCTAGGCACATATAGACTTTTTAAGACGTCATTTGATTACTCACTGTATCTTGATAAAATTCCTAAGAAATTTAGGATTGCTTTTGTAAAATTAAGATTGTCTTCTCACCAACTCAAAACAGAAACTGGAAGGTATGGTAATTTTGGAATTGAACGTAGTGAGAGATATTGTCTTATTGTAATTCATGGGAGATAGAAGAAAAATTTCATTTTGTTTATATTTGTAATGCTTATAATGACAAACTTAAACAATACTTAGCGAAATTTTATTATAATAGACCTAGTGTTTATAAATTCGGTGAACTAATGCAGAATACCAACATCAACATGCAACTTAAATTATGTAAATATATATATGAAGCGTTTGAAATACGTCAAGGTATTGTAAATATGATATCTGAATAAGCTTATTACTGTATATACCAAAAATATACTTATTGTCCGTGTTATAATTCAATAATTTCATGAAACATTTGACTGATTTTGACTGTTATTTAGCTGTAAGTCATTAAATATACAAAAACTCCATTAGTTCAACCTCCTTGTTTTCTCGCTTCCATTTTCTTTCTTGTTTTGATTATTTGTATCATATGTTCCGCTAAAAATATAATTGTCTATAAATTTGTGTCATGTTGACAAGTTATATTGTATCATTGTATATATGTATTGTGTAGCAAGAAACGTCATGTTTACGTTACCAAATAAAATATTTTGAATCTTGAATCTTGAATCTGTTAATTTCCGCACTTAATGCACAAAGCTCTGTCTGACAAAACGTATTTCCGGAGTTGTAATAAATCATTGGTGGATATTCAATGCTATCATGACAAAACGATTAAAATAATTCGATCACATCTCAACGTTACTATGTTCTTGCTCCGGATGACTATGCACAAACCCATACATCATCCAGTATTGCATGGCTATGTTGATGTACTTATTTGATTTAGATTTCACATGGGATTTTATAAATGCATTATTAGCAAAAACAATTTAACTCATTCTAAAATGAAATATCTGTTGACATTTATAACGAATTTATCGGTTTAGTCTAAAATTAAAATTGCTTAATTGTTTACTATGAAATGCATGCTCGAGTTATGCCGATCTACATCATGCAAATGTTAGGTGGTGCAACACTATTTTAGAGAATGTGATGGTCTGATAGTATGAAATATCTTTGTATGTTATGGTTTAAAGTTGTTTAGATCATAGTTATATATTCATATTTGACTGTCTTTTTGATAGTCTTATAACGTTAATCACTCCAAGGTAAATGCTGTATACATAACAACAATATATAAGATAAGAAAACAAAAGAATGCAAACATATTTTATCATTCTAATTTCAACGCAATTACACAGCCATGTTTTGTTTCATATTACACAACAACTTATCAAGTTTCTTTTGTGATCGTATATCAACAATAAATGTAATATATATTTCATGTCTGGTTTGGTTTAAAAGGCGGACTTACTTAGTTTAGGTCATATGGCTCCAAAATAAGTTCATAAAAAAATAATAATAATAACAAATAAAAAATGAGCACGAATACAATCAAAGGAATGCAAAAAGCATTGTAATATTAATATTCACAATCAAAAGCATTACAAAATGCATTGTTCTATGTAATATACACTTCTACCAAACAAATGATTACGTTTGATATCATTGCAGTGGAATCATGACTGTTTAAGGTCTAATATAGTTTAACAAACAACAGTGATAATTAAACTAATCATTGCCTAAACTTATTAGACAGGATTTCAAATCACATTTTATAAAGTTTAAGTGGTGTCATTTTCCTCTTGGTACTTGGTTTCTTCATTTTCGATTTTTATTTCAACAATACAGTCAGAGCCCGCGTACACCGGTAAATTCAACTCGTATTTCTGTTCAAGTGTTTTTGGAACAAAACGTCCTCCAAGAAAGTGATGTTTGCCTTTGAATAACTTCGCACACATTTTAGGAGCGGTAAGGGAGATAAGCATGTCTGGTTTTAGTCCATTTTCATCACCTGCCTCAATATCCCATCCTGAAAAATCATCAAGTATATAATACCAAAATCTTATTACTTTTCAAACATTATAGGAAAATTGCCTAAAAAGAATCATGTAAACAAGACCGGGGGAAAACATTTTTTGAGAATAATACAAACAAAGCCAATCATATTGACTAAGTTCTGTGCCCCATTCAACTGATCACGTGTAACTCTAGTTGTTATCGGCGGTTGACTTCCGTTAACACCGCTCTGTTCTGTTCTTTCAATTTGTGATTTTTTTAGACATTTATGTCTTTTATTGCATTTTTAACATTTCAACTTATACCATTGAAAAAACAAGATTAACTCATACACATTTTAATTTTTAATAAGGGATAGGTGCGTAGTGACATCAAACCTGAGACATAGAGATGTTATCTTTATCTCTGATTAAACATTTAAATGAAACCTAAATATAAACTATATTGGAATGTTTTTCATATATGTGTACAAGTAATGCTATTTTTCTAAAAAAGATTCAAAAACTAGGAGTTAGTCTAAGGGTCTTGATCGCTAGTAAGAGAGATGTTTGCTTTTAAGAGATATCTATGACATTATAAGGACACTATGATTTTTACACCATGTATATGTTTTTCTCTTGTAAAGGAAGGTAGTATCAATTATTTTAAATATAATAATTATAAACTGACTCTATTGACGGTTTTAAGTCGTAAACTTTTTATGTTTACAGAAATAGGTAATGCTGAATTTCAAGGTTTAATACAGCTATGTGAATATCTAAAATCTAATTTAATAAGAATACTTTTATTTGAATCATGTATTATACTATGAACATCCGACATTTCTGCACATTGTCATTCATTTGACATGCTTAAATATGACGTTGACCCCCAATTTATTAGACTAGTCTGTATTATGGCAAAGTTCAATGGTACTGAAACAAAAATATATCTGCTTATGTTTCTACTATTTCGTGTTGTATTGATGCATTGGCAAAGCTTTGTCTTGTTTCCTTTTATTTGTTTTAGTTAGCATAAAATTATAAGAAGATCGTCATGATACAAGACCGTACGTCAAATAGAGCTATTCTTTTAGTTTCAGTGTTGAAAATATATAATTAATCTTGAATCATTTCTCTATGAGTTAACCATGTTTTCAATGCTATTAAATGATAGGCTATAAAGAAACTGATCGCTAAAATTCTCTTTTATTTTGGGTCAATTTTGTTGCCTTTTGTGTGTTTTTTTTCGCCTCAAATCTCCCGTAAAGTAAGAGAAAACTCTTTATTTATATCTATGAATGTGCATTATCTTTTACGTATTATAAGACCAATTCTGTTATCAAAAAACATTAAATTTATTCGAAGACATCCTTTTTATTCATACATTGTAATATATCCTAATGAAAAAATGGGTTTTGGTTTTGGAAAAAAGTATACACAAAGATCAATTACCAAAAGGCAACAATATCATACCTGCAGATGGGGTAATTTAATTTTCTTTAAAAGGTTTAAATAACAGATTCCGATATTTCTGGTTTTATTGGAGTGCAATGTAAATAAGCGAATTGTGTAGAAGAATATAAAAGAGAACATTTTACAAATTATACAAATGACAAAATATATTAAAAAATAAAAAAATATTTATACCTAACTACTGTATACTTTTTAAAAGTTATTAAAAAAAAATTATCACAGACGAAAAATAAAATATATTAAGTAATACACACGTACATCAATTTAATTCTTACAAAACCTGTTTGCGTTTCTAAGATTTTATAAAATTAAAGTCATTTGTTTTCTCCTTTTCTACTTTTGATCGACTCATCTATACACTTCGCTTTCTTGAAAATGGTTTTCCTTACTCTTCTTGACATAAACAGACGGTGAATAAATTCCAGTAAATATATCTAGCAATTATAACAAGCCCTTGAAAGGAAAAAACATTCACATGCGCTCAAAGGTCAAAGATTGATACTAAGCAAATAAGTATTGTAAGAAGTTCGCTTTGAACGGCAAAATTGAAAAAAAATGGAGATTCGGTTCGATAAACTCTGTCCATTGACGATATTGGCAAATGAAAAATACCACAATGATCCCCTAGCAACGGGTTTAAAAGAAATTGACTTTTGAATATAAACCTGATATTGCTGTGTATAAATTTGTATGATGCTTACATAATTCTTATTTTTGTTGTTGTTGTTTTTGTAATTGCCTGGGGAGTAGACAAATTCCAATACAATGACGTAAAGGTCAAACTGCTGCGCACAAATGTAATTATAGTTTATAGTCAATATTGCGATGTAAGTTTTGTTTACATTTTCTGTCAAGCTACATGTGTTTTTTTGATACATATTAAATTGAGAAATATTTCATTAGGAACGAACGAGTAATTTTATTTGATTTAACGCACTTTTAATAATTATTTTTTAATCTTGTCTTATATAATTTAATCATCGTGTTCTTTAAAGTAAGGGTTCTAAGATAAATGGAAAAAGAAAAAAGAATTACATCACATCACATTACCTTTAAAGCCTAATCCAAACAATGCATCGACAACAAAGTTATACGAGTCTGTAATTAGATTTGGTTCAGACGGAAAAAATGACAGAAGAGGAATGTCTAGGCTTTCACACTGTCTAAACAATCTCTTAAACAAAGGCTTGTTTGCTCTCCGTGGATAAAATAAAGTCGGCTTATATCCCTGGAAAAAATAATAATTATGCATTAAGGCATTACATTACGGAAGGAAACCAATTCTACATTACAATATAGTTAAATTTCATGGTTTTTGAGTTTGAATGACAAATAAGACTACTGAATCTGATGATTTAGCTCTTCATAATATACTAATAAACAGAGGTCATTCCTGCTCATTAAGAAAGTTTTTTTTTCAGACTGCTTCAAACAGGAGCAAATGTGGAATGAAGCTTATACAGTAAATCCCACTTAAAACGATGTCGTTTATAACGATATACCGCTTATGACGATGCTGTTGACGTGATCCCGACTCTTGTTTTCAAATTAGTTGCCTCTCGGATATAACAATATACCCTTGAATATCTTTATGAATTGATTTTATTGTATGTCATAGTACGCTAAATAAAATTATGAACATACTTTATTTGGAAATTGCAGCGGAGATTATTTATCATATTCGTTATAGTCATTCAGTAAGCTTCTTTGCACTGATCCTTTACGAAATATCATTATACAAAAACTTCAATGAGAAACCATAGCTATCATTTGTATCAAGTGCGTTATCAAAGAAACGTTTTTGTGAAAAAAGCATAAGTAATATTTTCTTACAATAAGTGAATAAACACAAATATCAATTTCCATGACAACGAATATAAGATTTATATTTATGGCACATCTTGCTTTAGAAGTAAATCATATTTCTTTTATTCGTTATAAAGATCTTAAATGTAATTAATGATGTTTTAGTAATGTATTTATAGCATGTTGTATGTATATGTTAAAAACTAAAGGAAGTAGCACTGGACTGCAATTATGTGAAGGAAAGATAGTAAAACATAGACAACGTAGTTTTACGACTTCCATACAAAATCACTGTAATAATATCAATTGCCAAAGAGCAAAATTAGGAAAAGCTATATAGCCAATTAGTGATTTTTAGCAACTGCAACAAAATGTTAGAAAATCTGGAAACAAAGTGATTCTCGATAGCTTTAATCACAACAAAATTACATGAAAATTGCAGACTCGGTATGATTTAGTCTGTACAAGAGGGATAATGAATAAGTGCACATCCATCACTCCCTCTAGCACCGGCTTGAGCGGTACTCAATTCCAAACACCTTATAGTGCTGGCATCAATGATCCCGAAGGACCAGAACAAATATTGCAACACTGGAGTGGAGAACGGTGCAATATTTTACAGCTGCCACACAGCACTTGATACCTGCTGTTGCGAAGTATAAAATCTGGAAACAAAGTGATCCCTGGGAAGAATTAATCACATCAAAATTACATGAAAATTGCAGAATCGGTTTGATAGAGTCTGCACATGAAGGATAATGAAAAGTGCAAATCACACCGAAAGTGCAATAACACGTTTTTAATATTGATTTTAGGGGGTGTTAATGGAGAAATCATCAAACAGAACAAAACTTTAAAACAACTACGTACAAACATTTTCAGATGTCTGGCACACACAAGCCCATCTCCGCCATTATGTCCCGGTCCACAACAAACAAGGACAGCAGGATTTTCTCGTGACATAACTTCAACTGGATAACACTTAAAACATATAAATAAAGTGAATTCATAAATACGATGATTAAATGTTATCAATAGTCGAGTCAATTACACCATATTACTAACTGTTTTCATTTTTGCAGACATTTTACAATTATTCAGTCATACACGTTAACGTTATTACGGTATAACGTCATGTTTATTTATTGCTGTCATGGGTGACCGATTTCAGTGAGTCTCTATAATTCTATTTGTAAAAATGAAGCTAGTGCAAGAAAGTCCCTGCCCAGCTCGAATACATTTAAAGGTCTGTTAAGATAAAAGGGTCCTATCAACTCAACATTTTAATCAAGTAAAAGTATAAAGAACAAAACACATGATACTCGTCTTATACTAACAATAGTCATACAAGACCATGTGTCAGCGTTTAAGTATCACACAATGTGCCATTGTATTTCAAACGTTTTTTATTTCTTACATTTTTAAAATCATTGTATGCAGTATTACAAATCAAGAGTTCAGACACAAAACCGTTCCCGTTGATAGCTGCATTGATGGTTCAATATAAGCGGGAGTAACAGCTTAACCCGCTCTAAGTGGCAACACTTTTTTAATAGCAATTACATTCATATATCTTGCTTGTGTGTTGTGTCAAATATGTTTTCTATAAATGCTTTAATATATGTAATAATCCCGCTTTTCTTTATTTAAATACCATGATAATGTATGCGCAATTAGCATAATAAATCCGATGGAATCAAACGACCTTGTGAACAATTAAGTTCAAATTATGTAAATGAACTTACAGTTGCTATAGCAAACAGCGCAACTATATCCCGACAACTCCAGAAGTTGATCAACGGTTAAGGCATATTCTGTAAATAGTTCTTGGTTTTATATCGTGTGCTTCTTTCTGACTGAAATGAGATAAGAAAAATACAATACATAATGAATAGATATATCTAATGACTTTAAACTGATTGGGTTTCAAAAGGAAAACACCTTGCTCAAATTACAACAAAATGTTTGAAATTTGACTCTGTAATGACGATTACATGTAAGGCCAGTGAAAACCTCATATTGTTGTTTTATGTTTCAGATTAAATGGTAGAGCTCCTTTTCTTAAGTAGTGTAAGTAATATCTGTTAATAAAAAGAAAGAAATAAAATCGTTATGATATCGGTAGTATTAGGTAACAAAGCAACGGTTTTTGAAATGAATGCACCTATTTTAGACAATTCTTGTCACGTAAAGAAATGTTTATTACGGTTATATATTTACTGATTTACTTACATAATTATTATTATTCTTATTATCATTATTATTATTATTCCGGGCATACTAAATGTGTGAAATCCTACGGCAATTTAATTTAGATTTATTTCTTTGACAATTACTTAAGATAATTTTAATGGATTTTTATTAAGAAAATGCTATGATCTTGACTCGTTTTTTTCAAAAGTGTTTTTAAACAAAACATGAAGCGTATTAAGTCAATCCGATGTTCTTCTCTTACTTAATTGGGCGCCATCTTCCGTTTGTAGTATAACTAACTGATGATCTATTCAATAAGGCAGGAAACAATAAACAAGATTACTAGCGTTAAAAGAGAAAGCCCGACTGTTGCCATACTTGATTACATTGATAAAGTGGTAGATGCAACAATCTCCCATCTTAGTAAATATCATCTGTACATGTGTAATCAGTACAGTCTAACTTGCCCATGCGACCACGTGTATTAAGCGACTTTTGTCTTAAACGACCACTTTAAATTCCCCCCGATCATTTTCTCTCTATATCTTTAATGTATTAAGCGACTTTTGCTCAACGCGACCAGCGACCGCTAATTAGTCATCTAATTGACATCAATCTTTTCATTAAACGACCACTTTTACCTGTCAAGTAATTGTGTTTTTAGAGAACGCCACCTCGTTATGTCACAAGTGTCAACAATCAAAAACACAACAATAAACGTGTGAAAAACTCTATTTCCATACCGTTTTAGCGTATGCAAATGAAGTTAAGTATATACGCGTGACGTGTATTATCCAATAATATTCGGATAAACAATGCAACGCTCCGCCCATACTGAGATGGTGTATACGCTTCGCTTGTTGACATTTAGACTGCATTGAATTGACCTTGAACTTGATCAGCCATTAAATTAATCGTAACAAATAGATGTAGTTTGTTTAGTTCAAATTAAAAAATGCACAACAGAAAACATCTTCACTAATAGGGTTTTTCCAGACAAGGAAAAACAACGGAGAAGTTAAAAATTTTTCTGGAAAAAAAGTCAAACATGTACGTAATGGATCAAAACTGTTTTGTCAAATAAATATCAGAAAGTTATTTTTTACATTTGCATCCATTTAAATTATCGGAGCGTACTTATTATTCAACATGTATTTAAAAACGAAGTTGAAAAACATTCCCACGGCATAAGAAAGATGTCATTTATAAATTTTGACTTTTATATCATGGTGACTGTCTTAAGAGACCGTTTCATTAAACGACCGTTTTGGGTGTTTCCCTTGCCCGGTCGTTTAATACACGTTTGACTGTAATTCAACATAAACAGTGACATTATGCCCATCCAAGAGTAAATGGTGAATTGAAATAACTTCACGATTTGTCAGTGTTTTTTTTAATTCACTTTCATCATAAACGTCATTGAAGGAAGCAGTAACGCATGTGACCCATCTATAAATGGCCTTTGAACATTACAGGTTATGCTCATTTTTAAAGGAAAAGAATAAGGCTGTCTTTTTATATTTAAGGCAGTTTGATATTATTGTTCAACCTCTTTTAAAAAGGCCAGTGTTTTGAAATATACAATTGATTTGTCTCATATTTACATAACAAAATGAACATAATGTCAAAAAAAAAATTGTTAAATATAGAATTCAGGAAATCCTCAGGTGTATTCTTTGTACGACGGAGATGATGAAACCTAAAATGTGTAACCTACGTGTCATTCCATTAAAGTTGGTGTTTGGTTCCCAAATAAAAGAAAGTCTGTGAACTTATAGGAGAGTGGGGAAAGGGTCACGAAGTCTGTGTATCACACATTTAAAACAGGCAATGAAGTAGGAAAACTAAATCCACCAGTATAAAATTTCGCAAGTGAAACATATAAATACATGAACCAGCATCAAAGTTAGAAAATAACAAACATTATATTATATCTTACACTTTTTAAAACTTTGTTTAAATGTGTTATTTTTCAAAACAGGTAATATAAATAGTCATGAATGATTTGAATAATTGTTCTGGGAAAAGGGAAATTCCTCGAGATCAATAATATAATTATTCAGAGCAAAACTTTACAAATGAATATCACGAAATTTCAATCTATTCGTTAGAGATGATGTAAAGTGCAGCATTTTTTTATCCTCCAACAAAGGCTTATTTCAATATTTAATACTAAATGGAATAAAGTCAAGGATCCCAAATGACCAATGAAATGTACAAAAGTCATTCAATGAAATCATACTTCACTCGTGATGAACAGATTTGATATTTCGATATAATTTCATTCATCCACACTGGAGAGTCTTTTATCGTACATGCAAAACTAACATGCTTAATACGTTTGTGTTTTTAAGCAGACATAAATACAAGGCATTTTTTCTCTGAATATTGCGGCGTGAAGTCGTGCAATGTATTTTGTTAACAGTCATCAGTAATTTGAAATAAACAATACCGTTGTCTGAAATCCCTTTAAATGATATAGTGGGCAGCTTGAAAATCTCGTATTTTCGTCTTTTCTCTCTCTAAGTTATATTTGTCTTGCAAGCTTATACAAATTGTTATTATGAAAATACATATTGGAAAGAGTGCCCCTTTTACCGCAAGATTTGTCAGGTACTGTATGACTTTCAATCACAAATAAGGATGAAATATTTATTTGTTTATAAGTAAATAATGTAGATTTCCTGCAAGGTTATGTACAGGTAATATGTTTAAAAAAACACAAAACAGCCTATTTTATCCAGCCGATTGTTTTATTTTATTACGCTGTGATTAATCGGATGTCTGTGATGTACTCCTGGTTTGATTAAATCCGGGGGGGGGGGGTTGTTTATTGTATGCGAAGAAATTAAGTTTTAATCAAACTGAGAGATTTTAGAAACGGCACGTCTGTCTAGTAAAATTATATATCCTTGCACAGAAACTTTAATTTAACAATCAGCGAATGAAAATGAGTTAATTTTGAAAAGTACATAATGATATCGTCATTTGAATGCAAAAGCGGGTTAACTCATATTATAAGGATGTTTAAGAAGGTGTCTGTTTAACTTACATGTCACATTGTAAAACATGAAATCACTTCATTTTGAGAAATTTAAGAATATTTACTATTCTTTTCAAAAATGACATTACGGAAAAATATGCTCTCTACGGTGCATATATTGCATCATTATGAACTACTGAAATATCCATTCATTTATTATGATTCATTTTCATATTGAATTTCATGTTTTACCACTTTTATCAAGAAGTTCGATTTATTTCTACTTATAAGTATAGATAATATATGTTAATTATTTTATTATGACCATTTCATTGTATTTGATTGAGTTTCTGAATATTTAATCGACTCATTATTTGTCAACTATCTTAACCAATTGGAATGATAAAAGATGTTGTTACTGTATCTAGATAAGACGGTGTATGCTGATGACAAAAACCCTTACATCTTAATATATGATCTTAAAATATCTGCAACATCATTGTTCAATTTAGCTGATATAATATAAAAATGGTATATATTTGATATATATCTGATTTTCATAAGTAAAATGTCTTATTTTGAAACATAAATTTGTCGAGCAGTGTATCAAATGAATTTAAGGTTTTTGTTTGTCAATAAAAAAGATTATGACAAAAAAAAATAACGAAAGATTGATGAATTGACATTTACAGTGATTAAGTGAAAATATTAGTATGCAAATAACATTTAATTTACAAGCTGCGTATTTAAATCAGCATGCCTCAACATTCATGCCAATTGATTTTAATTGCTTGAAACTT